AACAGAAGATCGTCTGATATTGCGTTTTCATGCTGGTACCTAACGATGACAATTAATATTGCGAGTCCAGCTACATCCAGTAGATTCCATTTGTAATGCAAATTTGCATGATTTCAGGCGAAAAGTAAGTTCTTTCTTATACAGGGTGAGTCAGAAAGAATGGGAAATCCGAATAGGGTGTTGAAAGTTAAATTTTTATTTCGAAATTGCTTGATAATTTTGAAGGTTTTTGTACTATTAACATAAAATTTGGTAGTTAGATGTTTTCGAGCATGACAAATACGAATTTGATATTTGTTTTGTGATTACTCGTAGAGGGCGCTAGATACACACTGTACGTTTGAGATATCAAGTCATGACTATTTTGTCAGTTGAGGTATGGTGAATTAGAACCAGAAATCTGAAGGAGTTTTCAATTCTGCACAAAAAAGGTACTCTTGCTTACATTGTCTAAGTCTACTGGTTTCCAAGTTATCTGCTTTTAATTGTTTCAAAGTAATTTTAAGGTTAACATTTAAAATCAATAACACACAGTAACTATAGCAATTAGTAACGATAATAATCGATAACAATAACAATTAATTAATAACAATAGAATATTGTGACCATTTTCAAAAATCCAGTGGACTTAAATCTGGATTTCTCACTATTAAAAAACTCATTATGTCGTGGCATTTTCAAATTGGTAATAACTTTATTGTTGGTAAAAATGATTATTGCACACGGAAATTAGATCAATGTTGACAATTAACAGGCAATTGTCGAAACATAAGCGGAAAAATAACCCAACTTTGCTTATGTTAAAAAATAAATATTTTAGAAGAAAAAATACATTTAAACATTTAAAAGTAAATAATTCGAAAACCGATAGACTTAGACAATTTCAATAAGAGTACCTTTTTTATGTAAAATTGAATGCTCTTTGTGATTTGCAGCTCTTATTGGTCGTAGCTGTCGAGCCAAAAAACTTATGATTTGATTTATCAAACGAGCAGCGTGTATCTAGCGCCCTCTACGAGCAATAACAAAACAAGTTTCAAATTCGTATTTCTCATGCTCGAAAACATAAAACTACCAAATTTTATGTTAATAGTACAAAAACCTTCAAAATTATCAAGAAATTTCGAAATAAGAATTTAACTTTCAACACCCTATGCCTCGAAAACCACTGACATTTGTATAAGAGATGTTACGTTAAATCATCATATTTTGGTGTCTAGTATCTCCGGTATTCGGATTTCCCATTCTTTCTAACTCACCCTGTATATTCGTTGCTAAATTTCTGATGCGTTGAGCTGCCGTGTCATTCCATAGTGGGATGTTACTTATTTCTTCTGCTGATTTTTCATCGAACATACATTTTACCATCTCCATAGCGCAATGTTTTATAAGATTTTCCGCAATTGAGTAGGCTTCACCGTGTTGACCAAGTAAAAAGCCTCAGTTGCTTTTTCATTAATCGTTTTTGTCGTTTAAACCATAAATGTTTTTAATTTTACAAGTTCGTCACACTTTCGCTTGAAAAATTCAACATTTTTTTTCTTTAAGGTCCCCACGGACAGATTCCAAATGTCTACGTATCTTAGCTGGAGCCATAAAGCTATTTGGAAGAACTTTGCTGCATATAACGCACTGTGGATTACAATTACTGTTCATAAATCCTAAAGATATATATCTTTCATCATACCTCCTACCTTTTTTTAGTAATTGTTTTGGATTCAACACATGTAGAAGCATTTGTTTATAATTGGCTTATTTTCTTTTGGGGCGACTTGATTTGTATCGGTGTCATTGTTTTCATCACTATGTTTTTTAAAACAGCTAGACGTTGAAGCTGACGCTGTTGCATCTACACTTGAACGTTTTAGGCTGCCGTTTTTAAGTCATCTGTCCTTAATGCAAAACATTGGTAACGATGTTAGGAGAAAAAAAACCAACAACCGTTTATAACCGAACAGAATTCCCAGTGTGTAGGGATTATTTTTGCATCGAGACGAGACTCGGCGAGAGCTCTTTGACTCGTGCCAAAAAACCGACTCTGGATGGAGCGCTGCCGAGGCGAGATAAGGAGGATCAAGGCAAGACGAGCGCATACACACTCGGGTTTCCTCGTGTGATCTCGGCGAGAGTGTGGAGCTCTAGCATTACAGATATTGACACCGGCTAGTCACTATTATGCGTAGTTTATTCGCCGCCTCTTTTTGCTTTCAAGTATATGCATAGGCTTCCCTTAATTCGCTGTATTTTTAAAACTGGCGAATTTCCCTGTATTTACAGGTATTACTATCTTTTTCTATGATTCAAGTAAATAAGTGATTTTAATTGCATGGAAGGGAACCATAAAAATAAAATTTATTTTTCATCATAAAAGCGACAATTTTTATTTCGTTCATTAAATTGCTTTCTTGGACGTTATTCGTATGTGTAAAAAGCAGGGACTAAAAACGAAAAGTATTTTGTTCGTTTCCGATCAGAACGAAAACGAAAAATTTCGTTAATTTTTTATTTAATTTTAGTTAATTAAACTAAAGATATATTCTATAGTAAATCACAGGATAATTATTAATTTTAGTATATATGAATATATTTATATAAAAATTAATTGTAACTATTTAATCTAAGAAGCAAGACATCTTCCAATCAATTTTCTTTTAAATTCGTCCTTTGACAATTTAAAATATATTTCAGTGCTGAAAATGCTCGTTCAACACTCACTTGTGTCATAGGTAAACCAATAATTTGTTTCGCAACGTTATACAATTCATTTGATGACGTTTCTTTTGCTGCCCAATATTTTAAGACGCACGTATCTCGCTTTTCGCGCGGTTCTTCATAATAACGATCTAACAACCATCGAATATCTGCTGTATTATGAGATTTTGAAGAAATATTTTCTTTTTGTTTTAAAAATTGCTCTATTTCATCTTCTTCTGTTGAAGTTGACTCTAGAGATGACTCTTCAACGAAGTTGTTACCTTCATTTATATTTTTTAGAGCATTCCATATTTCTAAATTCTTTATAAGAAATACGAATTTCCGCCAGTGGTAGAGATTCTATCGCTTTAATTATTCTTAGTTTTAATAGTTCTGCATCATCTTGTAATGGTTGTACATCACTGTAAACAATTTGTTTCAATCGTCCCCAAAAGATCAGGACTACGTGCTGCCCATCAAATAGGACCATTTCGTTCAATCCATTTTTGACGAAATTGTAATTTTAACCATTTGGCACAATGTGTGAATGGTAAGCTGGACAACTGTCTTGCTGAAAGTACATTGACCGTATAAAATTTAAGGGTAATTGGATTTACATCGCTCCAATAACGACAATGTTGGGGAGAAACAATGTCATGTGTTGAAAAGCTATCTGAAAAGCAGCGTCTTCCTCGTTTAGTCTCTTTGTCTGCCTCTTTATACAGAACCCGTTTCCAAAAATTTTTTCCTCAGTTTGCGAGCCCCAACATGAGATATTTTTGTGTCCGGATATTTTTGCTGGAATTTTTGTATAACTACACGAAAACATGATTCACTAGTACCATAGCACAGTACTAAATAAATTCTCTCTTTCACGGTTAACATCGCATGAAAAGACTTAATCTCACCAACATAAGTTGCAACTTTTATGGTTTCTATGGTTACATGTCATAAATTGAACTTGAAAAATTTTCAATTTAGAAAAAAGTCCAATTTTTATATAAAAGTTGGAATAATTAGTTAACTTTTATAGTTAGAGTATAAAATTCATGCGATTTAGGCCCACTTTTACCACCTCTTGATAAATTTAACCGATAGATAATTACCATGGTTACAACGGTTTTAAGCGCTCTCATTGGCCAAGAGCGCCAATTTATCAATCGGATAAATTTATCAAGAGGTGGTAAAAGTGGGCCTTAGTAGTTTGAACATATCCGACGCATTATTTATGCTGAGATAGGTTTGAAAAATCAATAACAAAAATTTTTTTCTTCTTTGTAACTCGATCAGGGGACATACTGTATGTATAATAACAACTTAACAAGATTAAGACACACAAACAGAAACACAATACAGACTGATACCGCTAACTGAATGTAACGAACTTGTGTAAGAAAATATTGGATGATCGCCTGGAAAAAAATAATAGGGGAATACCCTGCATGTGCGAGCGATTGCTTGGCGATCACGTCACCTTCGGTTCTCCTACTTTATAGCGGAGCACTAGTGATGAGCGCGAATAGATACTCGTGAATCTTCGGTAAAGTAGTGGGAAATAGAAGTGGGAGCTTCCAGGGCCAACGTGAATAGAAGACCCTTGCATATATGTCCCGATATGTCTACTAGGAGTAGGTTACAAAAATATTGTGTCATTAAACCGGTTAAAACCGGTAACCGAAATTATTTATTTCGTTTTCAATCATGAACGAAAAATAAAAATTTCGTTTTCGTTTCCGTTTTCGTTCTTATAAATTATTCGGTTAATTTCGTTCTTTCGTCCTCGTTTTCGTTCCGTTCTTAGTCCCTGGTAAAAAGTACGATTCACGGAACCCTTGAACATAGTTTAAGAAACGCTGCGCTAGACACACACGTTCAGATTATATAGGGTGTGCTCGTGAATTATTTCCAACATTGTAATTTTAACCTACCTCAATTTAATCATAAATAAATAATTTAACATCTGTTACTTTTCTTTGACCTAGTCTCTAAAATTTCTACGTCATAACTCGCTATAAATAAACTTATAATCTTATCAACGTCATAACTCTATTCTAAAAATAAAACTATTAATATGTCCAGCCGGAGCAAACACATCGACTTTTAATGTTTGTATTCACCACGACAATCGATTTCTGTCGCCCAATTTGCATTAACAAACGTTTATTTCCATTCCAAGTTTGGTTCCAAAATCAATAGGCGACCTTTAAAAAGAACGCATCGCCCTCGATTCGAGGCCATTCGACAAAGCGTTCTTAAAACGAGAAAACCGAAGCGTTTCTTGATGCATATCGTATCGTTTTTTTCAGTTATTACCGGTTATAACCAATATCACGAGCAACAATCGTCTCAGCAGCAACAATTTTGGGTCAATCAACAGCAACAACCATGGAATGAATCCTCTCTAAGTTCTTTAGATCAATTTCAACAGCATCAAATCCCCGAACAACAAGACACTGGTGTTCGGCCGCAAGAAAATGATTATTGGAGCAACCAACAAGCTCAAAATGAGGTAAGAACAAAGTTATTTTTGGGCGCTTTTAAAATTTTTCTTGTTGGGGTTAATAATTATTGTAACCAAATGGTTTTCTTGTGGTTTTCATTACTAATTAGCCAACGGATGAGGTGGAAAAACCCAAGGAAAATGTAAGTAACAAGCATGACGTGCCTGTTCTGCCTCAATGTGATGAGAATAATTTTGGATCTTCTTCGACGAGCGTACGAAAAAGAACGGTGACGTTACAAAAAAAATCCCGTTCGAATTCATTAAAACCCGACAGTTTTTATAACGAGAAAATGCCTCCGATTGATTGTTTAAATAATTTAAAGCAACCGAAGTCGTTGATTAAACGGTCACCGAAATCAAAAATCTTTCCAATCTTTAAAAATAAAAGCGCTGAAGAGTTTTACACCAAAACTGACAGTTCCGATGATTGCGAATTCGATGGTTTATTAAAACACAGCAAAAACGTAGCGTTTAAAAACGAGGAAAAGTCCCAATTAATTTGCTATAAAGATAATAATAAAACGATAACAATTAAAAATGATTCTAAATTAACTAAATATAACACTTTTGATATGAAATGTCCGAGTAATAACGAAAATAAACGCGGAAACATTATTAAATATAAATCGTTAGATGGTTCGGAACACCCAAGAACAATCGTAAAGTATTTCGACTCACAAAGTAACGTTTCAATAAACGCTAAAGATTTCGATTCAGATTTTAGGAGAATTAAATACGAAACAATTAACACAAAGAAATCGTTAACGAAACACGACATAATTTGCGATACCGTTGATGCATGGTCGAAAAAGCCTTTAAATGTTGGTAATAAAAACGTTTTTTCAAATATCCGAAGTTCTATTTTTAAAGGATCTCCGCCTGATAAAGAAATCGTGCGTTATAAGCCATTAATTTTCGGTGGAACTTACCCGATTGATGCGCCGTTAAAAAGTTCAACCAAATTTGATGAAAAATTAATTGACTTTGAGGTTAGAAACGAGCCGAAGAAAATCGTCAATTTAGGAAGTAATCATTTGTATAGAATTCCGAAAGTGCGCGAATACGGACCTGCTAAAAGTTTCGATATCGATATTCCAATTTAAGTTAATAAAATGATTTAAACAAGATTCTTTTTGGAAAAATTCAGGAATCATTAAGTGGGTTAAAAACGAGTTTTTTTTAATCAATGTGAAATTATCCAAAAAACACGTTAAAAATAAAAAGAATGTGGGGAAAAGTGTAGAACATACCGAAAAATCACCTTAAAGGTTCGTTTCTTCAGACGCACGGTTAAACCCGATACTTTCTAGTTCTAAGTCTAGTGTTAGTTCTAGTTTTAGTGCAATAAAAATATGCGACATATTGATATGTTATGCTAATGAGCGCTACATACCACTGTCACTAGAACTAGAAACATTCATCTTGCGATCTTTGATTCGAGGTTCATCGTAATGGTCGAAAGAAAAAATTGAAAAAACGATGAAAATATATTTATTAAAAAATATTTAAGATCAGTGCTACTAGTTTCGGGAGTAACTTCTCCCTTCTTCTGGCACGACTGAAATGTACAAATTATTTGTTATTATTAAAAATTAACTAGATAATAGGATGTTAATAGTTACCGTCAAATTACAAGATATTAGTCGGAGAGTAAAATTCAATTAACATCTCACCCGAACCACGAGGAAAAGTATAGAAAATACGACACATTGAACAACCTCTAAAGCTTAAAACCAAAAAATTCCAACTTATTGACAAAGTTAAAAGGTTGATGGGCAAGATATAACAAAAGAATTTAAGAATTAAATCTTAAAACATGATTTTTTCATCGTTAAAGAAAATCTAAAAAAGTTTGAAGGTTCTAAAATTAAAGCTGAAAAGATAAGATTATAAGGACATATGATGGAAGCTTAGAAAAAGTTAACTTACTAATATAAAATTCTGAAACTGTTGAAAAACTAAAAAATTAATGAGAGTCCATCTGGTGCATAAGAATATGTATCGAGGACTGAATGTGAAGAACCGCATGACGTACGAGTACAGTTTAGCGCATGATCGGGAGATAAGAGAAGAAAGGGATCTCAATGAAGTTGTAACATTCAAAAAATTAAACTTTTTAGATATCTTTAGACACTTTACTATGTTTATTTAAATCCACACGTGCATATCTAAAAAGTTAATTCTTAAATTCTTTTGTTATATTTTGCCCATCAGGCTTTTAACTTTGTCAATAAGTTGGAATTTTTGGATTTTAAGCTTTAGAGGTTGTTCAATGTGTCGTATTTTCTATACTTTTCCTCGTGGTTCTGGTGAGATGTTAATTGAATTTTACTCTCCGACTAATATCTCGTAATTTGACGGTAACTATTAACATCCTATTATCTAGTTAATTTTAATAATAACAAACAATTTNAGACCTAGAACTAGAATCATTCGGGTTTAGCCGTCTTGAGAGACGTGCGGCTAAACCCGAATGTTTCTAGTTCTCGGTTTAGTGTTACTTCTAGTATTGCACTAGCACTATCAGTAGAACTAGCACAAGACCTAGAACTAGAATCATTCGGGTTTAGCTGCACGTCTCTCAAGACGGCTAAACCCGAATGTTTCTAGTTCTAGGTCTAATGTTAGTTCTAGTGATAATGCTAGTGTAAAACTAGAACTAACACTAGACCTAGAAGTAGAAAGTTTCAATATTTCTAGTTCTAGGTCTAGTGTTAGTTCTAGTTTTAGTGCAATAAAAATATGCAACATAGTGATATCTTATGCTAACTAGTGCTACCTACCACTGTCACTAGAACTAACATTAGACCTAGAACTAGAAACATTCAGGTTTAGCCGTCTTAAGAGACGCACAGCTAAACCCGAATGTTTCTGCTTCTAGATCTAGTGTTAATTCTATTTTTATTTCAATAAAAATATACCACAATCTAATGCTAAACAACATTTAAAACTAGAATTAACAATAGACCTAGAATCTAATTTATTCCTCTCATCTGCCCATTAACTATTTATCAGTCAAAACGCACTCACAGCCTGCGTTGTGGCTTGGAATGCAAAACACATAGATACACAACCGAATAAATTGGTTTATCGCCAACCGGCAGCAAAACCATACTTTATGCTATCCATTTGCGGCAGTAAAGTGACACTTTGTGCTACTGTCTAGTAAACTGTGCATTTAGCGGCAGTTTTAGAAACCGACAATGTTTTTTAAAAAATAATAAGAGTAAAAGATGTTTTAGAATTAAATTCCACATGAAATGAGGTAATAATGTATTAAATCAACCAAAATATTAAAAGGATATGACAAAATTTAGGGGACCATCACCCTTAATCAACCCTTTGAAATGCCTCAATTGGTCTCAACTTGCTACCAATTCCCTCAGTACACTCATAACATATACCAAATTTGGCTTAGTATAGAGATAAGTTGCGTTAAATCATCTTAATTTATTGTCCTCTACATGTCCCTGTTCTGTGTTGGTTCTTATGTGAATCACCCTGTATAACTACTTTTTGCTCCACATATTTCACTTTTTCAAATACAGAATGGTTCAGTTTTTAATCGGGAAACTTTACTAGGACGTAGTACTTGCCAAAATAACACAAGTTTTTTATACAGGGTGTTTCATTAATAATGGGAAATATTTTAATTGGAGATACTACGTGTCAAATAATTGACCATTGACCAAAAATAGCCTTATTCAAAATCGCACCGTTTTCGAGATGAAGGTCTTCAAAGTTCCAGAAAAGAAAATCGTTTTTTTCATCTTTAAAAAATTTAGAATTGTCATTTTAGCACAATTTTTCGATTCTTCAATACTTCCTATGTAAACAACATACTATGTATTCACCCTTCGTCACGATTAAGTTATTATTTTTCGAGATATTTAAAGCTAAATGAAATTCTTATTATTATTTATTTATTTATTGTTTATTTTATAATGTACAAAATTTAAGAAACACTTAACAAATGTTCAATGTGGGGGTCAATAAATTAACCTCAATAAGTTTGTTAATTCTTTCGCTAAAGGATCTTCTAACTTTAAAAAATATGTTTGGCTGGATGACAACAAAATGAGCAGAATTGACTATTTGCTGTCATAGTTCCTGACGATTATTTCTTGTGAGTATCAGTGATTTCATATGGCCCCAGAAATGGAAATCTAACGGATTACAATCAAGAGTTCTAGGCGGCCACGGAAATTCACTACCCCAATCCAACGATGGGGAAATTGCTGATCTAGATAGTTTCGTATCATCAGAGGATAATGAGGGGGTGCTCCATCTTGCATGAACCACATATCTCTCCTTTGGTTGAGTGGAAGTTCTTCTAGCTCGTCGAAAAGTGAAGTTTGCAGAAACTCCAAATAGGAGTTACCATTCATATTTGCTGGCAATTCATAAGGACCTAACAGACTATCTCAAAAAATACCGCACTATACATTTATCTTAAATTTTTGTTGAAAATATGATTCTCATGGGGATTTTCAATATCCCAACTGTGGCTATTTCTCCAGTTGAAGACTCCTCTACGTGTAAAAGTGGCCTCATCAGTAAAAAGAATGTTTTTAATAAAATTGCCATTTTATTTTTTTTTCTATTTAATATCCACTGAGCAAAATTTAATCGTGAAGGATAATCTCTAGGCAATAAGTTTTGTATAAGTATGGATGTAAAGTGGTAAGGCCGTAGATTTTCTTGTTTCAGTAATCGAAAAACTGTTTGGTAGCTTACTCCAGTCATTGGTGATAAACGCCGAGTGCTTAGTTCAGGATTATCAGCGATTCGCACTAAAATATCGTCGTCCTGATCAACAGTCAAATTTTTAGGTTGTCCCACATCATTTTTGGGCTTAAATTGTCCGGTCTCTCCTAATCGACTAAAAATGTTACTGAAAATTTTGCGATTAGGTTGAACTCTGTTTGGATACATGTCTTGATACCTTCGAGCAGCAGCAACGCAAGAATAATTTTCTTGTGCATAAACACAAAGCATATCTCGCATTTCAAGATTAGAAAAATTGTTATGACGTGGCATTTTCACTTAATCAATTTGTTAAATTTGTCAACAATGAAAAACAAACAAAACTGAAAATGCATAAACTGACAATATCCTACTAGATCGAAACGATTAATTC